AGACGCCTGCTCCTTCCTTGAATCCGGAATAGTGTTGCAAAACTGGAAATCTGTGTTACCTGATGGGAATCCAATCTGCACTTGGCAAACTGAGCGACAAAGTAACTCTACATCTCAGTTGATTTAATTTATCATATGTTTGATTTTCGATTGAAAACATCTTAAGTTAGCGAAATTATATCTTCAAACAATGAACTGTACTGGAACCTAGTCAGCACTCAAAGAATACTTCTATGGTTTTGTTTTAAAAAATGCTTGATTTAGAAATTTAAAAATGGAAAAGAATTCCCACAATACACATCTGCTGGTGGGTATCTTAGGTATTTTATCTTTGAAAATCAGAAATTTATTTTCACGTCACACATTTACAACATTTCAAACATGATAGGAGTCATGTGGTTCCAAATTCTTTTCGAACCCCAGTCTTCATTCAACCAATCTATTTTCGCACAAAATTCCCCAGCCACAGATTACTTTTTATTGCAGGAATGAGTGATGGTTAAATGGACGTAATCAAATTTAAGAGTTCCTTCAATCTTAAATTACAGAAAAAACAAACTTGGTATATTTTCATTTGCCCCTCAGTTTAGATAAGACGCACGTCATATCGCAAAAAGCATCGAAATGCACTCGTGTCCCTCTTGTGTAGATACAGTCAGCCTTTCAGAAACAGTCACATCAGGAAACTGCTCGAACGCACAAAGATGATAGGTTTGTTTACAACAACTAAGGGAGATATCTCTAATTTACTAGCTGCCGAGGTGTACCACTAAACATCTGGACGTGACAGCACTCGACAGTTTACGAGCGTCATGTATCGTGCCAATGTGATATATAAAAGAATTTGCCTCCTGCTATGGCATGGCTACGATTATTTATCGATCATTTACTTATATCACAAACATACATTTAAGAGGGATGAGTTTTGATTGTTTTTTCCATTATTATACCACGTCAAATACGTATCGATACAATTGTCTACGAATCAGTGAAGTTTCAGTGTTTGCTCTGATGACTATTTGTGTCACCGTGAACAATTGAATAGATCTCATGTTATTGTTCCCGAGGGTTATTACTCAGGACGTCCTATTTATAGAGGATTGACAGGAGACTTTCCATCAGCGTCCAGGTCCTTCCTCAGTGTGCTGCCCGTCAACAGTTTGTTTGTTGTTGCACGCCGGACTTATCAATATTTCAGATATATGTCGGCGGTCTGTAATCGAGTCTGGTCCAGACAAACCAGACATTGATATTATGAGCAGCCAACCACGTTGTCGTACGATGGCACACCATGAACCATGTCACGGAGACTGTCTACCCAATCCAGTAAGACGTATCTTAGGGCCAGCATGGCTTGCTGGGGACCAGTTCTATCCAGGAAGCCCAACGAACAGATCAGTAAAAACGTGCAGTTGACTTATGGCCTTTGATGTCATCCGTTAACATATGTTCCCGCATTTACATAAATGTTTCTTTCTTGTTCTTTTTTCGAACAAACTGCTATCGTCAATTAGTTCTTTTCACAAGTAGGACTAATGTACGTGTATGTCTTCAAACACTACATTTCGACATAAAGCATCAGATTGGGTTCCGTAACGAAATTTACTAAATTACAATCTGTTTGACAAAAAGTCGCTCATTTCTAATTTACATATACACGTAATTTTAAACATGATACTTTAGTTATAAGGGCTGTTTTCAGCTTCAACGGTATGTGTTTATTCTACTTCCGAGCAGTTACGTTTGAAATCCTCATTTCTAAAAGGTTCAAACTGAACACAGTGAGAAAGAATTCTCTTTCACGTCTATTCACAACCAGCTAGAACGCTAATGGATGACTGAAAACCACTAATTCCTGATATTTATGAACTGACTGGAGTACGGGCTAAAGTCCATTTGCTCACACGATTGATATATACTGATGCTCAATTACAAGCTTAAATCTCCGACTCCTTCGTTTTCTCTATAATTGATTTGCGACTGCAGTGGAATTCGAGATGGCCTGAGCCCAGATTACTGTTTTTCCTTTGCTGATTTTGGATTCCGCAACGAGTGGGCGGTTCGTCGAGGATGAATAGGATCACCTTGTCCATTCAAAAAGTATCATATTGTTGGCGTTACTTGTTGATTTTTGTCAAGTTGTTTATTTTTTTCAGAATTCTTTAAAGAATCACAAAATATTTTTAAAGGGATTATAAATAAAGTTCACAAAAATGTTAACATATATTGACGGATGTCGTGCCCGGATCGTTATGGGATTTTAAATTAGGTTAATGTGTCAAAGAAAACGATTGCCTTGCATTTTCTTGTTAGTTTTCTGTTGACAATAATATGATGAATACAACTATATAAGATGCCAAAAACGTTTGCACAATTTGAACATCTTTTTCATTATTCACCTTCAGTTTAAGTTCTTAAGAGCCACGATATATTTCAACTGCCTCTTAACCAATGATGTGTCCATGCTAATTATTTCTATACGGATATTGAATCTCAGTAGTCCATGGCGTTGGAAATCGCTGAACTGATTAGTGAGTGAGTGAGTTTGATTTTACGCCGCTTTTAGCAATATTCCCGCAATATGACGGCGGGAGACACTAGAAATGGGCTTCAAACATTGTACCCATGTCGGGAATCGAATCCGGGTCTTCGGCGTGACTAGCGAACGCTTTAACCACTAGGCTACCCGACCGCCTCTGAACTGATTAGTGTGCCCTAACTTCTTTGTTTCTGATCGTGGGTTCGAAAACTTTCACTTTGGGACTCCTTTCGCACAGTAATCATTTAAAGGGCAAGTTCACACGGAAATTAACCTATTTTTCTTGTACTTTTTCCACATTAAAAGTGTTAACCTAGAAGTGTCATAGACAAAAATATAAAAATATCACAATTAATTAACATATTTTCCGCATTAAAACGATTTATATTTTTCACATTTACCAAGTGTTCTATTTCCACAACAAAAACACCATGGCTTATGCCCCTTGCAATATGACGTCATTGGTGCCAATTGATAAACATTATGACGTCATCATGCTTTGTTAGAGCCGCTTCACGTGGTGTAGGTCTAGGTGTGTGATTCTTGCGTCTCAGATGCCAGCCAGCATAGTGTTATGCTGAGTCACCACTGCGCCGGAGTGTGTCGTAGGCCATGTTGTTTTACCGCAAACTGGTACTTGATATCTTTTGCGTTGAGAATAGACAGGGACCCAGTTGAATTGGCACCAATTACGTCATAATCTAAGGGGGATAACTCAGGCCTGTTTAGCTCGAAAAACGAAGGCCTCATAACGGCATATCATTTTCACACTATTGTGAGCTTCCTACTTTCACTGTGAAAAAAATGAGTGTATATTTTCAAACAAGATACTAATTAATTCTAAAATTGCGTTTTGTTTAGAAAAAGAAAGAAAGTGATTTTTGCGTGTACACTTCCCCTTTAACTGAACAAATGTATTAAATGGCGTTAAAACCAGCTCATTCACCCATTTCATTATCCAACATGTGTGTTTCAGGTTAAGCATGATCCAGAATTTCTTCACCAACGGAACATGGTACGGCTTTTCCTTCAGCAACCACAGTGTGTTGGAGTACCATGGCATCATGATGCACGCGCAAGGCGACGACCACTGGTTTCCTCCGGCCACAGAGGGCATCCTGGTCGGCTGCTACTGCCTCGTCATCCTCTTCGGTCTCCTAGGCAACCTCCTCGTGTGCGTTGTCGTGTACCGGAACGCCCAGCTCCGCTCGCCCAGAAACCTGCTGATTTTGAATTTGTCACTGTGTGATATCATAATGTGCGTAATATGTATGCCCTTCTCCTTGATCCGAATGACACTGAAGAACTGGCCACTAGGAGAAGCTTTGTGTAAGATTGTGCCTTCCTTGCAGACAATTGACGTGTTTGTATCCACATTTACTATTGTGGGCATAGCGTTTGATAGATACAAGGCCATTGTCTGTGTGGTGAGGGAACGACGTCAAAGAAAGCCTGTTGTGCATGTCATCATTGGGATCTGGGTTGCTGCTATAGTGATGGCGCTGCCGATGCTTATGTTTCATCGAGTCCATACCACAGATATGGTGGAGTACCACGTGTGCGTGGAAGACTGGCCATCGGATCCGTTTAAAGGGATTTACACTACTGTCATCATGGTGGTACAATACATGACACCTACGCTCGTTATAACGATCCTGCACGCACGGATATGTCACTTCCTGCGCCTGCGCATTGAAGAGAACCCCACAACAGAAGCCGAAAATAATCGGGCACTGAGGTATATGCGACAACACCGCCGGAACCTCTTACTTCTCACCGCCATCGCTGTTTCATTTTCAATCACTTGGCTTCCATTAACGATCCTTAATGTTACAGCGGACTTTGATTACAAGCTATTCGCTGACAAGAACTTTAACTTACTGTACGCTGTCTGCCTGCTCATAGCAATGGGATCAGCTGGCTTGAATCCCCTGTATTATGGCTGGTTTAACGTCAACTTCAAGAACGCGTTCTTTGAGCTTCTGTGTCAGCCGGACGGCGAGAGCACCCAAGACAGGAGTAGTGGCAGTGGTAATGGCTCGAATGCTAAAACGGGATTCAAATACGAAACCTTTAAGGTTGATTCAAGGGAGGGGTCGATCCGGCAGAGCAATTGAATCCTATATTTCCTTAAATGTCAAACATTGCAATACCATGTAGAAAGTAACCTCATCTGACGGGAAACTATTGAGAAAGGATCCAGTTCCTAAATTTAAGTCACTTTCTTCACAAATAATATATCATTTAATATTTTAAAAGGTTACACTGGCACAAATTCGGGATATGGTTTGGTTGTTCATAGATCGTATAAATATTTCGGTCCTGGCCCTCGTTCCACAAATCGCTCATAAAGCTACGATTATCGAAAGTCTGCGATAGATATGGGAGGTACGACGGTTGCAGCGCTAACACTACTTTGGAGAACGAAATCATGGTACTTCTGATAAATTACAAAGTGTACGCTGACGAGGTTCCTTATGAAGTGCACATTCCCTTAAGAGAGTGAGTGAGGTGGTACGCCCCTTTTAGCAATACTCAAGCAATATAACGACAAGAGTAGCCGTGAACCGCCTTCACATATTGTGCATAGCGTGGGGAATAGCATCTAAAGACTGGACTACCTGATTGACGGCTGTTTATTGGGACGATGATTTGAACTTGGAACAATCTGGTTATCTGTCCATTTGCTCGGTGGGTGTATTAGGAAGTCTTATTTGAATCACATTAAACTAGTAGTGTTCCTTAAAGGAGTCCTTTGGATTTATGGCACTACGTGTGATCGGGTTTAACATCGCAATGAGCAGTACTACAGTAACGTCACGGACTGTCATTATACAGAATGACAAAAAAAGTGGTGACAAATTAAGTAACATAACTTAACCCACGGCAACTAGATTATGGCACGGCAAAAGCACTGTGATGGTAAAGTGAGCTCCTCAGATAAATGGGCCATCTGGACCCAATTAACATTACCTTGAACCGTGTCAGTTGAATCTTGGCATTGCGTATTTTTCAAATATAAGGAAGTGGGACGTTTGTAACAACGACCACGGGTATTTACAGCGAGTCATGTGATACATGTACATGTAGAGCCTAACGATCCCATCCCGCTAGTCGCCTCTTATGGCAAGCATCGGTTGCTGAAGACCTATTCTAACCCAGATCTTCACGATTGTGTAGATGTTTGTGTTTGCAAACGATAGAATCTTGAACAGACAATCCATCGACAATCCATCGCATAGGTCTACTCAATTGGGATACGATGACATGCAAATCAACCAAGTCATTAAGGCTGACCACCCAGTCCCTTCAGTCACCTATTCGACAAGCTTAGGTTATTGGGGCTGCCACATTCGTACCCGGAAACCCCGCGGAACCCACAATTAACATAGCTCGAAAAGGTTCAGTGACCACTGGACCAAACCTTACCCCGACATAAACTAAATCATCAAACCCCTGTCATCTTCTCACGGTACCATGTAACAATTGGCCTACTGCTTAATATGTAAACGACCATATGCTTTATGTCAATCTGCGCATTACTCAACAAATTGTTTTAGGCGTGTTTGGGTGATTGATTCTAATCAGTTTGGATCACTTTTCGGGGTTTGAACTCAACGTGTCAAGATTTCAGTTTGTCAATGTTTCATTTGCTCGTCAGTTCATTTCAAGGTGTATACATGAAAAGGACTAAAATATAGACATATTTTCGTTTTATATGCATCCAACATAACAATAGGATTATCGTTTCACTGAAACATGGGCCAAAAGAGGTGGTAAGCAATTGACAAATTGTTATCAGATAAGTATGGCTACCGATGAGAATAAAGTTATTATTTAATGTAGGCACTGTCATATAAATGTATAAAAAGCTGGGTCTATGCTTATGCTTTCAATGATCTAATTGACCGTGTCGCTACATAACTAATGACGTTAATAGTAACATTAATCATTATAAAATTTTGATTTGTTTCAGTTGATGATTTGGAGAATAGAGAATAAAAGCCGAGGCGCCAACCTAAATTATCTGTAAAGCCATTTTGGAGTCGCAGAACAATACTATAGCGGTGTAAAGACAATTAGTAACACCAGCGCCGAGCCTTCGAATTGACGACGTGGCCTTAAAACTCATGTATATTACGTACATGATGAACATCGACAGCAGTAATCATATAAATGTTTATTTACGATGCCTAGAATGATTTTTTTTACATAAAACCAATAGGGAGAGGAACCGTTTTTACACTCGGTGATTGTGCACGACATCGTTAACCACATTGCCTTAACAGAAGGTTGAGTGGCTACCCGGTAGATTGTAATAAGAACGTAGACCAGTGTCTTATAATCCTTCTAGAGTATTGTGAAGGTTTTGTATTCTAGAAATACAAGAGCATAATGTCCCGGTGGTCATTGTACTTTCTGTGACAATAATTGTATGGAAATAATAATGAATAACTGTGAAGTTGAGCACATGGTGTTGCAATGTTTGAACATAAGTGAATTTAGTTAGTCCAGCAGAATCGCTCATCGTAGTGCCATCCGATATAGGCTTACAGTTTATGCTCCATTGGCCGCCTGACCCCTGGCTAAGGAGCTGACTTTGCATGCGTCGGCTGTTTTGCCGGATCTAACTTTTAAATTCCAGTTATATATTTTACAGAGTTTACTGGTTTGCTAATTATTTTGTAGTTGGTTATAGCTGTTGGCTATTTTCATATGTATACGTATTTTTGTATTTACTATCGTGTACAGTTGTATAGAATGCTCAACACGAGTGTAAAAACATCGAACAATGCAGACTACTTCTGAATGACAGTAGGCTGCATGAGAAGCCGTAAGATGATGCCCTAGGCATTCGGAAGACATCCACTGACTCGGGGTTCTACGTTCAAAGACGCAGAAGGAATTCCGCAAACTGAAAACCAAATTAATCTGGCGTTAGAAGATCGTGTTTATGGATAAAATGAAAATTCATTTTTCTCAGAAAAGAACTGTGTTTACTTTTCAGCATTTTATAGAATATCTTTTCACACCTTTTACAATTTTCATAATTTTTCCTCTCTTTGGGGTTAGTGTATATTTATACAAATTGCTATCTATATTTGAGTGTGTCACACCTTCACGGAGTAATCGAGGCATTACTTGCCTCATATTGATATATATTTTGTTTGTTTAATGTTGTGTTTTGTTTTCCTGAAATTCTTTGTCACAAAGTTCCCGTGCACAAATTATTTTTGTTGCATTTCTTAACATAGAATATTGTTGCATTGATTAACTACATCTCCATAAAGGAGGATTTGAAGGAATTACCTCATGACATGCATGTGATGGACTAGTGTTGTGTTGATTCTGGAGATTTAGAAAGCGCGTTTTGAATTTGTTTTGCACTTCAATATTTACACTCTAAGAGAGGAAAGGACCTGTGCCGAGTACAATCCAAGAAAAATTTATTTTCGATGAAACACCAGTCATGTTAACAGTTTACATTGTACCGTCTCAAACTTTACCATGCTTCGTCTGATGCTCTTTGTGTCGTAGCCTGTACACAGTTTGTGTTTCATCCGTTATAACATTATCCTTTCTGTATTACATGACTCACTTGTGATAACGATGAAGATGCCTCTCGCTCAGTGCCTGCACATGTATCCTGCAGTATTCCATCAATAAAAAATGCTTCTGGCACGCAACATGTGTTTGTGTTATGGAAGTAGAAGTGTATCATCCGATTTTGACAACCTTGACAACCTTCACTGTAGTGACCTTGACCTTGTTATACTATTATAATAATAGGCTGTCCTTGGCCTTGTAATCTGAACTCTGATGACCTTCACCCGATTGATTTTCTAAAAGTGACCAAGACTCTGGAGCGTTTGACCCTATTTATCTAGATTCATTGTTTTCTTTATCGTAATATATTTTATTCTAATTACCTTGACACAGTGACCTAACTTGGCCGGACTTATCTTTAGCGGCCTAGGACATAAAGATATAGGGGGTTGTCGAAACATACGGAAATAACCATTCGAAGGAAATCAGATGTCTCCCAACTGACCTTTTTTTTATAGTGTTGTTTATAGGTCATCATTTATCGTTAACGAGCAAAAGTTGTATAAAATCAAATTTTCATTCATTATGTAAAACATCTTACTCTTTCTGCAACTGAAACTTTGATGTAGGGTCGTGTATATAAATTAAATCATGTGGACGGGGTTCACATAAAGTGACAAATAGGTACGTTAATCATACGTCGGGACATTTTTTCAATATAAGAGCTTCTTTCACAAGTTTTGAACAATTAATGAAATATTATTCTCATAACAAGAAAATAACATTTTCTATTTACAAACGTTAGGGTTATCCCAACAAAACGTGGATAGGTATTTTGTTTCTATAGCAATTAATTATGGGCATATCAATATAAACTGGTACGCATCTTCATTATTGTCCCAGCATACACGATTTACAGAATCGTGTACAACGATCAATGCTAATATTGTCCTCCAAAATTCTTAGTAAACATCAAAGTCGTCTATATTCACTAACAGCACTGCACTTTACTGCAGACATGGTTTACTGGAATCGCAAATGTTTAACTACAATAAATTATTCTTGTTGATTCCAATATTTATCTGTGTTAAAGTTATTAAGAAATAAAATATTGCCACAACTTCTTGCGTGATCCATTCGTAAATAGTCGTAAGTAAACAACATTATGCCCATGCAACGCGATAACATTGATCTAAAGATTGGATATCTGTTGTTAGACATTGGCATCAATTTTAACCAATATCTAATTCATGTATTGTGACAAGCAACAACAATACCCCGTATCTACATGTTCACCCAGTATAGCAACATTTGAAACATGTTTACTCACACCTACTGCACACTTACAATGTTGTATATGAGAAGACACGATATATTCTTTTTCAGAGTGTCCCCTCACATGTATGAAGTAATATTAGTTTGCGTATCAAATATCGTAAATATAACAGATGGTGAAGTATTCTTAACATGTAATAAAAATGATCAACAGAAACTTAGCATTATGTGCGTTATGAACAAGAAAATTAATTTTTTTTTTATTTGGGAATAACCCAAGATAATTTAAATAGAGTAAATATATATACATGTTTATTTCGATCCATATATTTTTCAGTGCTTTTTAGTGTACCAGCATTCCGAAAAACTATTGTCTTATCTAATTAACAAGTAATCGCCATTTAATGCTAAATTCTTTGAAAACGTTAATGTTTTTTTGTAGACCTTCATGCACAAGTGTGTCATCTAACAGACAAAGGTCATCTGCATATAACAACAAAATATATATCTAGGAATTAATGACCCACAAATATACCTCTTACATAAGATTCGTCTTACACTAACAACAAAGAAGGTGACCTATATAGGATTCAGAATACAACCCTGTTTCACACCACAGAGAGTGTCAAAGTAATCAAAAATAGACTTATTTGAGACTTTTGAATACAACCCCAAGAAATCTATAAAGACTACTATGAATGCCTTCCTTTCATATGTTTACCATAGCAATTATCTATTTAAGGAGTCATATGCTTTCCTGAAATCTACAGAATAAACAAGAAAACCTACCATAAGCCTTAGATGGAAATTTGTACAAGCACTGTAATACGAATATGTTATCAATAGTTCTGTAACAGCTCTTAATTCTGCCTGCGATTCTTGTGCTCCCATCGGCACAATTATTTCAGTTACAAGGTCGTAACGAAACCTTAAAACCGTCACATTTGAACCCTCAAGCAAACTGACATCGGTTGAAACCCCACATGTCTATTGAATCTTGTGACATGGTTCACCATGTATTGATGGGATACGTCGAGCGTACATCACCAAGTACCACCACCACTGCAGTTGCCAGGTGTATACATGTACGTTGGTTGGTTGGTTTGTTGTTTAACGCCGCACTCAGCAATATTCTAGTTTTTGACAGCGGTCTGTAAATAATCGAGTCTGGACCAGACAATCCAGTGATTGACATCATGAGCATCGATCCACGCAATTGTGTTACTAGTTTCAGAGTTCTCGGTTAATATACAGTCGTGTTCGATACATTTGCTCCAATGAAACTAACATATTAGTATAATAATGTGAAGGTAAGGTACGAAAATATGCTGAAATCGTTATGATGCCTTTGGAAATACATAGGACTGAACCCCGTTTGACAGGTGGGCCGATAAGTCTCCCTCGAGTTTCAGAATTTAGCACGTTCATATGATAAGTTTTATTTGATTTATAAACATTTGATTCATATAAAGTGAATGGGATTGGGTACAAGTCATTACAACAAAACGATACTTGAATGCACAGTGTCACCTTTTAATATTACCTGTCGGTCCACTCGCGCACGGCGAATAAGAAATGTTTTCAGTCTTGTAACTAAAGTTGTCTTTATTTTTGTGTGTCTCCCAAATAATGAAACAGCCTCTACTTATTGTTCGCAAGAGAGTTGTGGAACCTCGGAAGTGATGATGGTCTACGATATTAACAATCACATAAATACATTACGTCAACGCCAGGGAATAACAAAGCCCGATTATCTACCGAAACACATTCCCTTAGGCGTACAACGCAAAATAGCCGTAAATATATTCACTTGTAAACGAATTGATGATCAGCGGTGACACTTCGATGACGCTGTATTCATTCCCATTTTGCTCTCATAAAGACACAAGAGAATGATCATCATACAATCATCTCTTTTTTTCATAAACAATGTTCATAGCAAGTCCATCACTTAAATTAAGGAAATGATGTTATAAAATCACATTTGTTTTTAAAACACAACATAATGATTTTAGCGTGTAATAAACAATAACGTGCATGGATTTCTCTCGCTCTTAATTATGAGAAACATATTTTAGCAAAACTACGACATTAGACGTAACACAGTGCGTAATGTATTGTAGAATTAATCCCGCGAAAATCTCTTTATTAACTCTCGCAACACCTCATTCAGTTCTTTGGACAAACTATATGACATTATCTCCCGTTGCCGTACGTCACACATGGCGTGGCGATAGTGTATTCTATGTACGCTTTTTACGCGATTACTTCCGATTGTAATGTTCATGTTCATGTTCGGATGTTCATAGATATCTGCAGTCTGTACAGGACTTGACATTCATCACTCACGCCGGTGTCTACATTAACACACTGACAGTTTAATAGCTAATCAAAACACCATTTGAGAAGACTTATGAAATAACACTAATATTGCCTTCGTCTAGATTCATTGACTTGCTGTTTCAGACAGAAGTGTTGTATCTTTATAGAAACCCTACAATGAGAAGGACACAGACATTGCTCTCCCAAATGATAAATGTCACTAGCATATATATGTGGACAGGACAGTCTGAGTCGACTCAGGTTTCATGATGGATCCCGGAGTTGATCAATCTACAGTGATCGAGAGGGTTTCGTCTTTGAAATATATCACGTGTGACACACCAAGGATATATTGTCTAGCTTGTGAACATTAGTAGGTTTCATTTCCTAATGAAAAGTGAACTATTCCTTTCATGCCTACACGCCTTTCCTTTGGTGCCGCGGGCGTCGAACGTCCGGGTTTGAACACTGGGCGGATTACTCTGATCAAAGTGGGATGTATTTAAATGACTTGAGACTACGTTCTGATTAAAACAGGGAGCATGGTGAATAATGCAGGATATATATCGGGTGTATGACACATTTGTCGTGACCATCTGATTTGGTCTTATATAAGGCACCACTGATGAAGATCACAAAACATTCACATACATTTAAATACATAGAGAAGATGGTATCTAACGAGAATGAGTGTGGTATTTTGTTTATTCCCGACGTTTAATATATATTTAAGTGTTAATACATAACAACTTTCGTTCGTTGACGGACCAAACTGAAACCGGTTGCAAAATCTGGTTGAATATTGATATATGCCTAAATATTGGCATTGTTGACATTTCTATGCATACGCATGAACAACATGCGCCTGCAGTTGTGTTTGCAAAGCACCGACGCTCAAGATCCTTTTTGAAGAATTTCTTCAACTAATGATAATTCAAGCGCCATGTACTTTCTACGCAGGACACCTACAAGAAAATTTGAAACGTCACATGAGCGCCGCGCTTTGAATATCGGACCAACAGGTCACTCGCACTGCCCGGCTGTGCAATCAAAATGGTTCGGTTTCCTTGATCTGTCAGCTGAATTTATATCATGTCCGTACCATTTTGGAAGAGAGAACCAGAGTGTTCGCCAAAAACGTTAATGTTAACTGTACGACCCTACACTGAAGGCGTGAAAATCAACAAACTCAAGTCTGCTTGCGTGTCAGTGGCAGCTTTGAACGAAGGGCAAGGTCACCACCGGAATAAGCCATTCGTGATCTACTCCCAGCGTTATACGCTAGTGATAGAGAATGTTATTTGTTTTGGGCCACATAATCAGAAGTCAGGCACACGTCTACGGAGTTTTCGAAAGATTTATATCGAAAATGTTCACTTTGGGTGATCTGGTCGTGCAGTTGTGAACAAACAACTCCCGATATATTGATGGCAAAAAGGTGCACTCAAAGTGAGGTTATTAGATGATTCAGTTTAAGATTATTCACTACATTCTTACAACTAACAAGTATTTATATAAAATTGGATATGTTGATT